CTCATTGCAGGGCGTCACTGCCTGGCAATAAATGCAGAAATTTTTACTAAATGCTAAAACACAGAGGCAACCAATTTGGGCTTGTTCTTACCAAAAATGTTGTAAGATTAAAAACTGGGGTTTAAGATTTTAAAAGTGAAATTTTCAAAAGGTAATTTTAATCAAAGTACTATTGTTTTCCCCTGCAAGTTCCTGCATGTAGGTTCTTCCTATCTTCCATTGCCGAAGAGTAATGTGGTGACCTTTTTTTTGGGGGGGGGGAGGGGGTTGGCTGTGATTATAAAGCTTTTAGTACATTTACATTTACATAGCCTACAATTATTCACCTGATGGCCTTGATGGGTATCAAGCTGGTTCCATCCCTTGCACACAAGCAAAGGAATCAAACTAGTTCCTCTGGTTGTCTTTATAATGTGATCAATCCTGCATCGCTATGGCATGCAGTCCACACACTGGTGGCAGGCAACACATGCATGGAGCATAGCTTGTTTTATGACTGTCCACTGGTCACCCCTGCCCACAGGTATCAGGAAGGGCTTGGCTGAGCATAGCCACCACCCAGGAAGGGGCTCCAGACACTGACTTTTACTTCATGGCTTGTGACAAAGTCTTGACTGTGTCTTCTAGTAAGAGCAGGATCATTTGTAATCTGAATTTCTCCTAAGACCCTGAGCCTGCATTTATAAAACTGAGAATCTAATCCAGTCCAGAAGGAAAAGATGCCATGGGTCGCAGCTTGACTTAGAGGATCGTCCAGAAACAACCAGATTGTTATCATAATTAAATTGATATCCCACATTCTTCAGTAAGCCGGGACAGATGGGGGTGAAAACAATAACAACAAAAGGACAAACAGGATAAGGGATGGCAACAAAGAGTGGGTGGGCAAGGACCAAAAAGAGAGCTGGGGACTTACCTGCCAGGTTTGGTCCCAGATTCCACCAACATCCAAGATTCAGAAGAGGCTTGGAGTTTAGCTGAAGAGAACTGTTTATAAATATTTATCAGTGAGGCTCATTTGTACCGGTTGCCAAAATCCTGCCAAGAATCGATACCATATATGTCTTTTCTCCATAATAAAGACCCCGGTACTTCTGGCTGAAATCTTAGCTATATCAACTTATTATTTGAAAAGCATCTATACATCGGTGACATATAATGGAGTTGTTTCCCAATGCCTATGTCTTTGGAATTCGAGTATGTTATTTTTAAAGTTCTAGATAGAAAAAAATCTGGTTGTTAAATTTGTCTCATAGAAGATTCCATATCTCATGGGTGAGACTGATAGAGGGCACACAGGCCCCAGGGTATCTTCAGCATTCACAGGGAACTTAACATATATTACTAAAAGTCACAGTGCAAAAATCCATAGAAAAATAAGGGCTGAAATGGATTTCTGTTGAAATGTAATTTATTTGACAATTATTTGAAATTATGGGGATGGAGGCCTCAAGCTGTTTCTTATAACATATTCTTAAATCTTTGGTCCTTTGCAGAGGAAATTATTTTTCTCAGGCCTATTTTTATTTCTTCATCAGCAGTGTTGGCATAGATGGTGCCACACACTTCTTGTGGGTAAATCAGGATAAGTGCAATTGTTCCTAAATTGTCCTTGGCATAACAAATGGGGGGCAGCAAACATTTTGTATCTTAAGTATAATCAAAAGATCTACTGGCTCTTAAAAAACTAAAAAAGTGGTGACCTTTGTCATTTAAAAATTTTCATCTCGGCTGGAGAGATGGCTCAGAGGTTAAGAGCACTCACTGGTTGCTCTTCCAGAGGCCCTGAGTTCAATTCCCGGCGACCACATGGTGGCTCACAACCATCTGCTATGAGATCTGGTGCCCTCTTCTGGTGTGCAGATATACATGGAAGCAGAATGTTGCATACAAAATAAATAAAATCTTTAAAAAAATTTTCATCTCAGGTAGCACACACTTTTAATCCCAGCACTTGGGAGGCAGAGGCAGGCGGGGCTCTTGAGGTTGAGGCCCGGGGGGGTACTTGCATTAAATATCTGTATCCTTCAAGCTAACCCAAGAGGATGAAATAAGTGAAACTAATGAGGGCACTGCACGGACGAGGAGTGCAAGAAGTGATTTGTGCTTCTTTGTAAAATCCCTAGAACTCATGAGAATGAGCCCAGGGTGGTCTACAGAGTGAATTCCAGAACAGCCAAGACTGTGTAGAGAGGACCTGTCTCCAAAAATCAAACCAACCAAATTCATCTCTACTTGCATTAAATATCTGTATCCTTCAAGCTAACCCAAGAGGATGAAATAAGTGAAACTAATGAGGGCTCAGCACACTGCACGGACGAGGAGTGCAAGAAGTGATTTATGATTCTTTGTAAAATCCCTAGCTTACAGACACCTTAGGATTGTTAAAAAGTATGTCATAGTAATTTAGAAAACATGTGGGGTGAGCTATAGGATCCCATTGCTCACAAATAATCACCTTTGGAAGTTTACTTTCATGTTTTAGTCCTGTACAGTGAGTGAGTGCTGATTTTCTGTTGATTCATGCTGACACCATCCATGTCCTAGCGCTCCTCCTGATTCTCCCACCAGGTTTTCCTCTGAGCAGCACGAATGCTGTGCCCTGTCATCTACATTCTAAACTAGGATGCCGGCAAAGAAAGGAGGATGGATGTACACAGAGCTGTAAATGGTGTGTTAACCACTTAACTGATTTGGCTTCTTGAATATTTTAATGATCAGGAAATAAGCACCATATGGGGAGGGGGAGGGAAGCCAAGTCACTTTAAAAATCTCTTTTCTAACAGAAAACGGAAGTCAGCAGAGTGTTCGTGAAACATGCTTTAATTTTACCACAGGTACTGTGGCATTTAAAAGAGCTTCAAAGAGCTGAATACTCTGTTGTTGTTCTTTTTCTGTGTAAAGACAGAAACACAAACACATTTTCGTGGTCCAAAAGTGACTCCATGGAATTCTATCATCAGTCATTTGTAATAAATGTTACATTATGAGATACTATTCTTGGGCAATTGTTCACATTCTCTCTCTCTCTCTCTCTATGAGTACTGTCCATTACTCTGTCCATTGAATCATGACAGGGAAGGTATATTATTAGTGGCTTTAAAAAAAAAAAAAAAAAAAACATGGAATTTTACAATTCAAGAGATTTGAGTCTATGGTCAACTTCCAAGCTCCTACAGACAAGAAGAGTGAATGAGGGGAGGGGTGGGGAGAGGTTCCATCTCTTGCAGATACACTGCAAGAGTTCCTGCCTTGACCCTCTGCAGAGCATACCCCAAGGATGCATGGAGACCCTTTCACACCCATGTTTCTGATTCAGTACCACAGTGCTGGAGATGACTGTATTGTGACTTGCTCTTGAGGCTCTCCATTGTAAAGACTGATCAGAGTTAATGCTCGTCTTTTCTCTTTAAGCAAAAAGGAAAAGAATTTTTCTTATTATAAGAAATATCTTTGTAGGTCAAATTGTAACATTTCTCAAATCAGTTAAGAGTCGAAAATGTGTCCCATATTGTCCTCTGGTGGAGCGCTAGGTCGCAAGAAACCTCAACTGAAAACAAGCAATTGTTCACTCTACCTTAGCGCTGATATTTAGCAAATGAGTTGGACTGACCAGGGTATGTGGTAGGGACAGGCTGAACAAAGCCACAGTCACTGCTTTGCCTCAAACATGGGCTGAGAGGAAGACATGAAGGGTTCAGGCATCTGCAGTTAGAGCCATGCTGCTGAGGAGGAACCACAGTGGCTTGAAGTTGGTGTTGTGCTGGAAGTACAGACACTGTTTAGGAATAAAAAATGTCCCTGATGTTGGCTGTGTTTGTGAAATGGGACCAGGTATTGCCTGTCACACAGGAAAGAAAAGCAGCCTACTGCTTTTAATTAGTTTTAAATGTTAGCGGATACTACTAGCTGAACATAGACTAGAAAAGGAGTTAAATAATTTTTAGGGATTGTTGCTACTTACGATTCAAGTACTAGAGCTGGTGCCAGGAGTAGAAACCACACGTGATGCTAAGCCAAGATACCTCTGACATACTACTTAAAAATAATTTTGAAACAGAAGAGACAGCTCCCTTTTCTCTTGAATTTTAATTTGTATTAGTGATTCTAAATAGTTGTAGAATCTTTGCTATTTCTCATTTTTAAAAATTGAATTTATTATCTGGCTTAGTTCAAGTACATAGTTTAATTTTGAAGGCCTGGGAGGAGTGAAGGGTGGCTGGCCAGCTGGGTTAGCAGTGGGTACTTTTCCCACTGCTAAAAGAACTCTTCTACCATGCTCTTGATCCAAGTCACTTCAGCTTCTGGGTATCAATAATTATTTAATGTTTAAAAAAGAAGAAATGGATTATTTGACATAATAACCAGGAGCTCTTAAATTAAAGTTATAAGTCTTAGCAATGTTATCTGTGAGACAAAGCTAATTTAAAAATAAATGACATCCCCGCTGGGAGTAGACAGAGGCTGGTGTCAGGGAGTCCACTTGCCATCTGCTCTGTGTGGTACCCATGAGCACACTTTTATTCCTGTACTTCCTACAGTTATTGGAGAACATCTGTTTGTTGAAGTGACCTGGAAGCTGCTATGTACACTCAGTGCAGATGATGAGAAGGTAATCCCGTGCAAGATCAGGGCTCTTTGGCAGGCATCTCTACTGTATTGTCTTCCCCAGCAGATGGAAAACAATGTCCACAATTAGATTTATTTTTATTTGGGGGGAAAAAAGAAAAAAAATCGAAGGAAGGATATATGGATGAGTGGCAAGGCACTTGGCTAACGTGCATGTACCATATCCTGGGTGCTATGCCCAGCACTGAAAAAAAAAAAATTCAAGATCAATCTAAGTACTCCCAGACGTTGTGGAATTTAAGCTGTCAACTCTTGTTGACTTCCCCATGGAAAACACCACAGACATCCATTCACCACAAATGACCAGCACTGCAAATTCCACCCAGAAAAATCAGGGAACGCAATTCAGAAATAATATGACATCCTGCATTTTATTCAGTTCCATGTGACAAAAATAGTAACCTAGACTAAGACATCCATTTCAGTCAGTAGATGTGTCAAGCCACAAGATTTAATCATAAAATATATTGGATCTACGAAACAGCCTGGCTGGTTCTGGGAGGCCCTCTCCCCTCGTGGTTTTGTGTTATAAAAATAGTGTCTCTCTTCACCACGCAGAGGGACAGCCAGCCCTGAACACAGAATGGGAGTGGTCACTGCACCTTCATCAGCCATCTCATTTATAACGCTTTACATTTCTCTTTTCTTAAGTTATATACACATTGTTTTGAGAGAAGAACACTAACATGGTACCAAATACCAACCAAGAGAGGGGACAAACACACCAGGACACAGATAATAACAAGACATTCAACTGCCAGAGTACTGCGACTTCAGCCACTTGTCTTCCTCTTCCCAAAGCCGAAACACCAGGTCCCATCCCCAGCAAGAGATGGCATGGGCTGGATATGCTCCACCTGACTATGTGGAACATAGAGGCAGAGCTGCACATTCATTTCCAAAGATTGGAACAGCTAACGAGCCCCAGAAGCTCTCTGCTCAGCCATGGGCTAGCGGTAGTCATTCCCCTACAGCGCCTTCTCCTGTTGGTTCAGTTATATGAGGTGACTGCTCTATCGGTCTGTTTCCCACTGTCTGGTTTAGCTTTCAGGCACAGACAACTCCCTGCCGAGGTACCCAGCTACCTACAATATGTCTTGAGCAATTTTGTTGGAAGTTCATCGTGTCACATCCCAGCATGCTTGCAATGCACAAAAATGAGGTAGTACACACAACACTGACGTTCAAGTTTTGATTCAGCCCTGCCTCCCAGCATCTGGCTTCTTTGCTCACTGGGTGCAGTTTAGACAAGCCATCAGCAAATGATCAGACTTTTGGATAGTCAGGACACTGCACTGTGTTTGCACTTGAAAAGACAATGAATCATGAACTCAGAAACTGTCAGTTATGACTGCTTGTACTGCCAGACAGTCACTATTCCCGTCTCATTTCCACCATGACCAGTGCTCTGAGGCAATCACATCTCGTGTGTGTGAAAGAGGGGAGCCTACAGTAAATCACACCTATACAATATCCACTCATTTTTTTGTTTTGTTTTTTTTCTTTTTGTATGTCACAGGATTAATATATTTAATTTGTCAAAGTTTTGTTAGGGTGCTCACAGTTTTTCACGGATTTTGTAGAAAAGTTAAATTAATTTAAGAAATAGCAGGCCTTGTTTTACCGAGGTGCTGACAAATCTGGGTGGCTTTTCTGCTTAAACAGCATAGATTTCTCATGTTCAACTTTAAGACAAAAACAATAAACTGTGACATGGGTTTTTTTTTCCTCCATTTTCTTTAAACCGAAGTACTATTTATAAAATACTTTACATCTTTTTTTAAAATTCTCAAATTATAGACAAACCTCCCTAATACAAAATACTAAAAGTGCAATTGTATAAATTAAGATTTGCAACCACGTTATACAAACATTACCTCTTTATTATACAGCTTTGATAATGTGAAATATTATAATGTTGTGAATCATTTTATGGTGATGCTTGTCTGTAACTTGTTCCCAGTCAACCACTGGGCTACAGACCACACTAGAGAACAACTGTTCACATAGCAGCTACAAACATTTAAATTAAAAAAGGGGGCGGGGTGTTACTGACAGGTACTTGCACACAAATAGCATGCTATCTTTCCCAAAAAAACGTCACAATTTTGCCTGCATTTAATTAATCCACTTATTTATAGTAAAGCAAGTCTTGCTTTAAATTAAAAAAAATCACATAGCCAGATGTATTCTGTGATACAAGGTCTTCATTTAAGGTTGGGTTATTTTACTGTCTATTACCCGCATAATCTTAACATAAATACTATAGACGAAGAGACCGTCGTAATACACAGGGTTTGGAGCACTGAACTGCTTCTTCACGATGAAGAATCCCTAAAACAGAGTTCAAGTGTCTACAGAATTTGGACAAAACCATTGAATGTGGCTTGCTGGGTGACCACAGGGGACCCTGGTCCCCCAGGGGAGGGGGTCACTAGGTTTTAGGAGAAATGAAGTAGATATGGTCAGAGTTCTTTCTGTTCCCAAGGCAGTTTTCCAAGCACTTAAGCTTTGGTCTGAAATCGACTCAAAGGCTTGCAGAGTCCTTAAGAACAGTCAAACCCACTATTGAAGAAGTACCACGCAGCACTCAGCAGGCTACCTCACAGCAGCCACGTGGTGCTGGTGCTTTCTGTCAGGAATAAAATATTAATGAGAGACTAGGCATGTGGGGTCCAAAGCCTGATGCTCAGACTGTGATTAGTGGGCTTGGAACAGAGCTGGAGGATGTAGTCTTTAGTATATCTGGCTAGTTTATTCCAATCTCCTTGTTATCCTCAATGAACCTTGTGAATGGCCGGCTGGCGCCTGTCTCTGAACTTGCTTTGTCCAAGCTGACAATGGGTGGACTACTGCCAGTGCGTGTCTTGTCCACCCCACCAGCCATGGCACCCAGAGGCGGGATGGCACCTCCGCCTAGACTTACTGGGAGCTGAGGGATGCCTCCGTTTTGGATGACGGAAATCTCATTGTTTTTCATGGCGAGCCCGTTGGTGATGGCAGCAGCATACTGGTTCCAAAAGCTGGGGTCGACGTTCATTGCCCGAGCTGCCAGGTCCTTCTGGAACATCTCCGAGAACTTCAGAGCATCACCACCAAGCAGGGCCATAGGGTTTTCCACTGACAGGCGGCGACCACGCCTTGCAGGTGCATTGTTCCACATGTGGGTGCCCATGTGTACCTGTAGGAGACACAGAGAGATAAGCCACAAGCAAGAAAGTCTACAACTGTCTGGCAGCAACATCCTGGTTTCAATGCATTCTAAGCATTAGCCCAGGGTCAACAGAATGCAGTTAGATGGGATTTTTTGAGCACCCTGTAGTATATACACCGCATTTCATTCTGTGAATATAAAAAGCAAAACCAGTATGTAAATGGACAAACTTGACAGACACCAACCTTACCTCCCCTCCCCTACACACACACATACATAAGACTGCTACAGAATGTTCCAGAGCTTTAAGGATAAAGAACCTTTTCCACGGCATCATCCAGTCCCCACATTAGTGTGTGTGTGTGTGTTATTTTTCAAACATGGTCCACTTTTTTTTTTTTTTTTTTGCATCATCCAGTCCCCACATTAGTGTGTGTGTGTGTGTGTGTGTGTTATTTTTCAAACATGGTCCACTTTTTTTTTTTTTTTTTTGAGATAGGTAGGATCTGCTATTGACCTGGAACTTGTCAAGTAGACTAGACTCAGTCACCACCATCATCACCACCATCACTCCTGCCCACTTTCAAGACTGTAAAAGGTCTTGAACTCTTTGACTGTCCTTCTCTTGCTTTCTCTGGAACAGGAAAGGTGAGTGTTAAGGCCTCCTGGACCACCCAGAGCTGTGGGATCCTCAAGAGGCTCCTGTTTAGTCAGCACTGATCCAGCACAGAAGCCAAAGGTATTGGCCACTGGCTTTCTTCTGAGGCTTCTAGAGAGGCTTCTGAGACCTCTACTTTAGACAGTAACCATTTTAGCCTCATTCATGAGCTGGTGTGTGCTTGGCTGAGGCCAGTATCATAGCTGGGAACCTAGAGCCGTCTGTGGCATCTGCCAGCAGTTGGTGAGAGCACACAATGGCGCTTGACCTTAAGGAGAACACAGGTTTCACATGCTGGGAAACTTGCCACCCCGGATCCCTGTCTGTGCTCACACAGACAATAGAACATTCTAGAACTCACAGAGCAAGTCTCATCTTTGCTATTTGCTAATGTTTAAGGCCCAAGATTCGAGAGGTTTGTGTCCTGGGCCTGCTCATCAAGTGTCTGTCATGACCTGGAGCAGGCCGACACCGTCAGAGGAGCATCAGACATGAGCCCCCTGGGTGGAACATGGATTCCTGCTGCACTTACTGCTATTTAATGGGACATGCATCTCCTTTGAGGATGTGTGCACGCATGTGTGTACTACTCATATAAACATGTATATACACATCTGCACACACTATATACACTCATATTGTATATGTACAAACAACCCATTCCACACATGTGTATACATTCATATACAAAGCGTGAAGGCAGAATCTCTGCCTAGACGGGGTGTGGGGGTCACGTGGCTTGGCCACAGCCTCAGGCCTGTGGCCCTCTTACCTTGAGATAACCATTGGTGGTGAACTGCCACAGATAGTGCAGCCGAAGGGTTTCTCGCCTGTGTGGGTGCGCTCATGGATCTGCAGGGCACTGGCTGAGGAGAAGGTCTTCCCACATGATTGACAGTTGTGCTGCTTGGGTGTCCGGCGTGGTGGGGGTGCCAGCATGGGTGCCAGGCCAGGGCTCATCACTGTCTGGGGCCCGGTAGGGACCTGGACTCCAGCTGATAGGGTTGGACCCTCACCCAGTGCGATGGCCTTGCTGTGACCGTTGACTTCCATTTTGATCATGGTGGGTGCAGGGCCGGAGGCCAGGCTAGGCGTGCTGTGGCTGGGACCTAGAGTAAAGTCGGAGTCAAACACCTGAGAAGGCAGCTCTTTCAACTTGTGTGTCAGTAAGTGCTGCTTTAAGTTACCCATAGTGGAGCAGCCTCGCCTGCAGACAGTGCAGACAAATGGCCGCTCCTTGGTATGACTGCGGTGGTGGATTTCCAACGCGCTTTTACAAGCAAAGGGCTTGCCACAGACACCACACACAGTGCTCGAACACTTACCACGCTCTCTGCTCAGGAACAGCAGGCTGAAAGGGGCCTCCTCCTTGATGAGTGGCCTCCCAGGGTGGCCCGCTGTCAGGTCCAGGGCACCTCCATTTCCTGGGCCGGGGGGTGGGCTGTCCAGCCTTTCAGTCTTCAGTGGGATCTCCTGTGGATCCTCCTGATGGCCAAGACCTGGTGACTTGGAATGGAAGTTCTCACCGTTACTGTGAGCAGGTGACAGAGCCTGGGAAGATGAGGACTCGGATAGAGCAGGGCTGCCTGCACTACGGCTCTCTAGGTCACCCACTGCCGACGAGGAATCATTGCTCAAGCGGTCACTTTCCCCAGACCCATTTTCCACTGATTTCAAGCTGGCCAGCTGCTGGCAGTTCATGACTGAGTCAATCATTTTCATCTGATTCTCGAGGGCAGCAATGCTGGAGATGACTGACGGGGGTGAGGGTGGACAGGACCCCGAATAGGAGAGAAGTGGTTTAGAGGAGTCGCTGGCCGTGTCCTTCAGCTCCGAGTCCTCCTCCATGGAGTTTTCATCAATGTCGTCGTCAAAGCTGCTGAGGGTCTCGGCGTTCTTCTCGTCAAAGGGCAGTTCAGCGTCCATGGCCTCCTGGAGGCCCTCGGGCAGTGGCGTGTTTGGAATCTGTCCCCCCATGTGCATGCGGATATGTTGCTGCAGCACCACCGCATTTGTGAACTTCTTCTGGCAGATAGGGCAAGAGTGCTGCACCCGGAGAGGGGGTTTCGCACGGTGCACTCCAAAGTGTGTCTTCAGGTTGCCTTTGGTGGTGAAGGCACGGCCACAGATCTTGCACTTGAAGGGCCTCTCCCCTGTGTGTGTCCTATAGTGCATCTTCAGGGCACTCTGGCAGCTCAGCACACGGTGGCAGATGACACACTGGTTGGGGTCCGTTATCTTCTTATCGATGTTTTCCACCAGCTGCTGCAGTTTTGAGGTCTCCGACGTTTGCATAGAGTCAAGCAGCCCACCGAAAGGAAACTGGGCCTTGAACTGGTCAGAAACAGCTGGAAGACCAGGGCTACCGAGACTTGTGCAGGCGCTGTCTGTGACAGTGGTGGCAGCCCAGGGGGGGAAGCCGGAGTGGGCAACCCACTGACCTGCCCCCCCACCACAGGAGCATCCCCCGTCCTTGTACTCGTGCAAGGCAGGCTGACTGGCTCGGTTTTAGTAAGGGGAGGCCCGCCAAGGAGTGGCTGGGGCGACTCAGGCCTCACTGTGATTCCAGACTCAGTATTGTTGAGGCCAGGGGACAGAGAGGTACATTCGCTGGATGCTGGAGAGGGCCTCTGTGGGGATCGGCTGATGGGTGTGATGCTAGGGGAGTCAGTGTAATTGTGGGTGCTAGGGACAGTGGGGGGTAGCTGCAGCCCTACCGATGTGGGCACCGTGGGCAGCACTGGCTTGCTGTCCAGCCAGGTGGTCACTGGCTTCTCTGGGGGCAGGGACATGCCATAGGGAATACCGGAGCAGGTGGGCACGTTGTCGAGGTATTCTGGGACAGGGTAGGGGTTCATCTGGATGTGGGGGTACTTCTCCTTGTGCCTCTGGAAGTGGACCTTCAGGTTACCCTTGGTGGAGAAGCGGTTCCCGCAGATGTTGCATTTGAAGGGCCGCTCCCCTGTGTGGGAGCGTAAGTGGATCTGCAGTGCACTGTCGCTGCCGAAGACCTTGGCACAGAACCTGCACTTGTGCTTAAAGAAAGGGTCCTCGGCGCTGGCCTTGGGCTCGAACACTGACACATTAGGGGGCTTGCCCTTGCGGTGCTTCATAAGAGCAGACAGGGGGTCCAGGGCATTGGCTGTGGCAGCAATGCTAACCAGCGGGTTGGGGAAGATGACACTGCTGGATGAAGTCTGAGGTAGCAGAGGGTTTGGCAGATTGGAGGCTGAGCTGAGGAGCGGCCCAGGACCCAGGGCAGGGGGTGTAGATGCATTTTGGGGCTGCACCGTGTTGACCACGGCACTGGATGCTGCAGCCACAGCTCCTGGAGCCGGGCCAGTGCTGCAGGCAGGGTGTGCCCCAGATTCAGTGGGGCCAGCACTGGTGCTACAGGGAGTGCTTGTGCCAGATGCAGGCTGTGACAGGTGCTGGGGGCCTTCGAAGGCCGCTGGCAGGGTGGAGCCTGAGCCAGCAGAGGCAGAGGCAGGTCCAGTGGAGAGCTGGAGGGCCGTATGCGGAGCCAGGCCCTGAAGCTGTACTGAGGCTGTTCCAGGGGCACTGGCTGAAGGCTTCAGTGGAGGCCCGGGCTGGCGGCTCATCAGGGCCACCTGGCTGCGGATCTGCTCGATGAGCTGGAGTTGGTGGATCTGCTGCTGCTGCAGAGCCACCAGCTGCTCTAGGATCATGGGGATGGCCACAGCGCCCACGGTGCCACCAGCGCCTGCAGTGCCGCCCGCACGTGCACCCTGGGAGAACTGTGCCACGGCCACCTTAGTGCTGAGCAGCGTCTCCAGCGTCACATTGGTACTAGGCATGCTGAAGGCCGCAGGCTCCGGTTGTGGCGGCAGTGCAGGCGGCGGTGGGGGCACACCTGGGCCCGGAGGGCCCTTGTCTGCAGATGCCTCCACATCCATGGGCTCCGCCTCCTTTACAGCAGCCTTCACCTCGCTGCTCTCCGTGGGTGCCACCTCCTCAGCCACCTCACTCTCAGTGCGGTCGCTGGGCAAGCTGGCGGGAGAAGGTTCTGGAAAGTCCTCGGAGGGCGGTGCTGGCTCATCGTCATGCACGATCAGCACCAGTGGGTTCTTGGTGCAAGTCTTTTTGTGCTGCAGGAAGTCTGCCCACTTGAAGAACTCGGCACAACACTTCTCACACACGCTGGTTTCCTCACTGCCGCTCCTGCTCTCACTGCCGCTCTCTGCGTCCTCAGCACCGTCCCCAGGGACGCCTAGGAAACCAAGAGATTACATCAGCTAGGCTCCGCAGACAGCCACCCTCCATTTCAAAATTTTGCACATCAGTAAAATCAATATTTTTTATTTTGTACAAATTACCCCACTTCAACATTTCTGACGTCCCAGCGTGTGTGTTCTATGACTCTTTCTAGCTAGCTAATCATTTTCTTAGCACAATCCATCAAATTATGAGGCTCTATCAATTGTGGATACTGCTTCTTAATGAATTCCATACAAGCCATCGATTTCCAATATCTTCATACAATCCGCAGCCACCCTGTCTATTGGGTACAAAGCCAGCCTTCGACGGGCTCATTAGGATTCTCCTTTACCATCGGGCTTCCTCATTTCCAACAAAATTAGAGACGCCTCTGCCAGTTCACTTAACATTGCCGAGCTAATCCGTAACCTTTCCCACACACCAGCACCTGACAGGAAGCCAGTGTGGTGTGCTTTGGCCTCATGGATTCATCATCTCTAAGCCCAGCAGAGGCGGTGCCAATCTAACATGATCCTACAGAACCTTTTGAATCGATAGGCATTTATTTCACATAGGAAATTTAGGCTAAATACTATGGTTTGTGAATGTAACAAAGAAACTACAAGCTCTTCTTTGGATCCTAATGGTGCTGCCCTTCCCTCCCCCTACCTCTTCCTTTCGGAAGGCCTCTACATTTTAGGATTTGCCAGCTGACTATCAATATACCCCAGGTCTAAAATGAATCACGTTTAGTACAATTAATCGGCTCTGTGAGATGCAATATTCTTTGGCGAGATGAACTTGAAATTACATGTTATTGTGATTAGCCAATGGAGTTCAGTGGTTTGTTAACAAACCAGGAATTATATATTTAAAGTTCATTTATGTTGACATGTTTAACATGAGAATGTTGTAGTCAGACACACTTTTTGTACCTATTTTCATCTATTCTCATCGAAAGACTTAGCAAATTATATGCTTGCACCATCATGGAAAAGCCTCTAATTGGTTACACATGTTTAATTACTGTTGTAGGCAGCTACTTCCTCTGTCTCCCTAGCCCTCTTGTACCGAATAACAACCCTGTTTAATGAACAACTCTAATTCACACCTGATCAAATAAATAGCTGTATGGGAAACTGAAATCGACACGCAGTGGCACTTCTGGCTCTGGCTTTTTGGGTCACTCTGGTAGGGAGGGATGCCCACTGCTGCCAGGTTTTGTGTTCCAGTTTGGGTGCCACTGACTAGGAGGGATTTTGTTTTTTTGTTTTTTGTTTTCCAGCTTGCGGATGGAGTGACAGCAACAGTTCTATTGAATAGAGCAAATGTCACAGGCAAGTCAGCTCTTTGTTAAATGTGTAAAGTTGAGATGGAGAACAAAACATCTTCCAGTCCCATCTGAAAAGGCACTGGAGTTCTGACACCAGCACATGGACTTGCTAATATTTTTGTTTTAAGGTTTCTTTTTTTTGGGGGGGTGGGGGGTTGATTCAGCACCATGTTGAGCAGAAACATCTGTTTGTTTGTTTTTGTTTTTTAAAATTTTATCCAGGAAACCCCACTGATCCTCTCCTGGAAAATGAAGCAAAAATATTTTTGTGGCTGGTCTGTTGGTTTCCATGAGGCTATTATCTCCAGGTAATTTATACATGCCTTTAAAAATTATTAGCAGCATTCAATTAGCATTTTCTTAACTGGCTAAGCCATTTGAAGGGGAAAGAAGTTAGAGCTGCAGCCCATAAACCCCATAGACTTTTAAACTAAACTCAGTGCGAAGATCAGGCTGCACCAAGCAGTCTCATTACTGCATGGGGGAAGGAACGCAATAGAGGTATCTGTAATGAGGTTAACGGTAGCTGGGAGCAAAGACACAGCCGATTTATATAGCAGATAGGCACATTAACAAAACAAATACTCCATGCTCAACCTTGCTCAATGTATGCAACACTAATTGTAAAACCTGGTTAAGGTTATGGAACAGGGTTGGGAGAGGCTAGAATTTTTTAATCATTGAATAAACAAAACAAAATAAAAAAAACTATGAGCTCTTCAAAATTCCAGTAACAACTTTAGAAGTTTTAAGGAAATGCCAAAAAATAAATTTATGATTTCTCTTTAATTGTATAATGTCCTTCAAAAACATATGCATATCATATAGACATATATATATATGCCAACATTTAAAAGCTCATTTACATTAAGCAGTAAAATAGATGCACAGAAATAGCAAAAGAGGCTGACTTTAAAAAGTTGCTTTCTCAGTATAAAAGTTATGACATCAAAAGTATAATTTTTTGTACCTCCTAAAAAAAGGGAAACACCAACATATTAAAAATTGCTAATGCCTTGAAATGCTGTCTATATGTACCTCCTTTAAGAAGATAAAAATGTACAGTATGTATAAGACACAAAAAGTGATGGTATATATACATTAAATCTTATAAAATCAGACAATATTGTATTAAAAGAATACTTTTTCTTTATATTTGGTATGATCTAGGGACAATTCATTCAGAAAATGCTTAAGAGTGGCTTGACTCTGAGATCATTTAAGGTGCATTCAGTGTGGCCGGAATTAATTCACATAACTGTAAGTTATACCTTCACAAATGAACTTTCCCAGATTTTCCTTATAACAAAGTGTAGTGTGACACAAAGGACCTGGGCTTTTCAAAAGGGTCTTGACCCAAACAAATCTCTATTTACCTTAAAGATTTGCATTTTTACATTCCCATTAGTTTTTTTTTTTTTCTTTCCATTAATGTTTTTAGGGTTCACTTCCAAATGCACACTGAAGACGAGAAGGTAATTTCATTTTTTTGAAAATTTCTCCACAGCGAGGGCTGCTAAATTACAAGTGTTTTTAGCTGTCCAAAGAGTGCATGGATCTGCCAAATAATGTCATTTTGCTTAATACAACCTTAAGTGACAACTATCTCAACATAAGATATTTTGTCCAAAGTAAAATGATCTTCCTCCTACACTCCTTCCAAATTGAAGGAGGAAATTGTAAGGAAAAGGCGTTCTGACCCTTTGGACCCGTTAACAGTTCCTTATGTTAATGAGGCCAAGGAAACCAAGCCTGGCAACAATTTGCTTATGAGCCAAGCTTCACCATGAATTTCACTTTTGGCAAGACAGTGATCTTAAAAACTACAGTTAGTGAGGGCAAAATTCTTCAAAAACAATTTGTACTTCTTATTTGGGGCAAACAAATTAGAATTACCACTTAACATTTCTGCCGGGGTCTGTTTAAAATATCAGTAAAACAGTTGCTTTGATGTTAATTCTTACATGCTCAAGCATAGCTGTTTTCCAAATTCAAATGTAACTAGACCTCCTTTATAAAAGTTGGAGATAAGCAGAAACTTATTAAGATAGGCATAAATATGAATAAAAGACTCATGTTTCCTCTATGAAACTGAATTTACTAGTATATATTTGCAATGTTTTTAAGCAACAAAAGACTCTCTTAACTGAACGGATGGTCAGGAAATTCTGAACATGGCAAGGACAGGACTCTGGAGAACCACAGTCTACCGACTCACAACAGCACAAGTGCTGAGCTCTGATGTGTTTTAAAGAGAGTGAGAGAAAATAAATTATAACCTGCTTTTGACTCTGTGTACATCACAGTGTCTATGTGAAGTGCACATAATTGTTTGTTTTCCGTAAAAGAAAACCCAGGTAGATGCCCTGACTGCAGCTTATAATATTATCACATTGCTGCTAGTGTCCTTTACCCCTGCCATCTTGTATAGTCAAGATTATATTATTTAACCATGTTTCTCTTTAACTTACATTCTGAACTGGCCACCATGCTAAAAAGTTATTAACCTACTAGTTAATATTGCTTAAAATTTTTATTTACAGGTAACCAGGGCTAAGGGAAGCACACGCTTCAAGATGAGAACAATGAGAAAACTTTGAGAAATTCATTAGCAATGCAAGTTTTTATTCTCATTCTTTTTTTGGGGGGGGATTTAAAAAACCAGCACTCTAAACATTCTGATTTGTTTCAAAAAGTAATTTGTATTTTTGCCTGCTGTTTGTTCAACAACTAGGATTGGAAACAAACTCGACAGGGCTTAGGCAGGCATTTTATATACATAATAAAGGTTACATACACTTCTACACTTAAGGGGAGAAAATGCTAACCAGTTGACCAAAGCCATCATTTGGGTGTTGGGTCCCCCTCCTGGAAGAAGGCCTTCCTCCTGTTTGGCAGACAGCTGGTGACAGTGGTTACCAGGAGAAGATAACTACTGGAAGGACCACAGGGTCCTCCCTCACTGCCTTGGAAACCAGTCACCTGCACTGAGAAGGATAAAAAATAAATTTGTGGTTGATTTATAGTCATCCCAGAACTTAGGATTCCTAACTCCATCTTGAGTGAGAGCCATGTTTGTAGCTGGAAGAGAAGAGGAAGGCCCACAGCCCCTCAGAGAAAACCACAAGGCAGCTAGCTTCATGACACTCATTTTAAAAACACTTGCATTTTTTTTTACTCAATGATAACACAGCATGTTTAATAAAAATCTGCTGATTCTTAGTACATTCTCACCTATCACAGCCTTCACTCCTGTTTAGTTTTGGAAAATGACACTATGCTTTCTCTGTCTTCTAGAACACGATCTTTTTCAGGCCAAAATTGAAAAGCGTTGCAGTGTATAGAGATATTTGAGATGCCATGCTTTTGCTATACAAATATTTATGCACAGTTCTTAGCACGGCTTATTTTTGTTTTCTTTTTTCAAAAGTGTCAAGAATCTCACCCCTTACAAAGCAGCAGTAAAAGTGCTGATTTATCGTGTCCTTTTTTTTTTTTTTTTTTTTGCTACACTCTTGTTTCATATTTTTAATCCAGTACAATTAACAAAGGGAGAAGGCAAAGTAGCATTCAGTACAGAGACAGGCACGTTAAACTTCCCCTCTTTAAGTTTAAAATACCAGGTGGGTCTTCCGAACAGGAAATCCTACTTCTTTCTTTGTCTTTCCATCTCTTAAAAATGTAGCAAGCATTTCTCAAGTTTTCCCAAACTCTTAGGAGACATTTATTTTCTTGCAAATTAATTCTTTTTAACTCCTTATGATAGCTTTGAATCCCATAAAGAAAGATGAATTATCGCCATACTGAGCCCAAGCTGTGTCACAGGAGGAGACAAATAGAGACCCCCGCTGTGTTTAACAATGTAGAAGAAATTCCAGGCGCAAAAGAAAAATTTCTGCCCTTTTCCCCCAGACCTGGAAAGCCTGTGCTCACCGAGCCGAACGGTGGAGGGCAGTCTTGCTATACTCAGCAAGGCACTGACCCACAAGCTCCCTCTTACTCAGTGGCCCACATCACAAATTTGTTAAGTCACGACCACCTGTGGCACAGGCCCCAGGCGTCTTCTGTTTAAACTGG